ACTAGGATCCAAATTCACATCCAAGGATTATTTTTCAGACTTATCCAGAACCCCAAGATTCCTTTGTAGTGTACCTACTGAGACTGGCCTCAGAAATGCTCTCTTTGGATTAAACAGTTCAACAGATTAACATTATGTTTCCTTCTTCTCATTTTACTATTCAAATACTGTTGTAGTAATGAGAAGTTTACTGGTGTCTTACTGCACAATTCAAATGAAACAGATTATATAACAACAGTTTTATTAAAGACTATGAATCTCTTTATGGTTTATGTATATTATAATCAGAACTAAAGTTATAATAAATGTCTAGTACTTTACAAAAACTTTATTGCTACTATTTCTATAATGTTTGGTTTCTTACTGTTGTTAGGTACCATCGATTTGGCTGCAACTCACAGTAACTATGAACAAGGGATCTGAAGCTTGCCTTATTCTGTGCTAGTCTTACCATCTCTGATTTGCTTGAGCCTATCATTACAGTCACTGTGTCAAAGTATCTCATTGAGGGTCTTCCTGTCCTTCACGGACTCTCCACCTTTTCTAGTACGATGTCCTTGTCCAAGGACTGAACCCTCTTGACAACATGCCTGAAATATGGGAGACTAAATTTCACCATCTTTGCCTCTAAGAAGCACTCCTGTTGCTCTTCCTCCAAGACATACTTGTTATTTTGGTGTTTTTTTTTTTTAATTTTTTATTATTTTTGTGTGCGTGTACCGTCAAATCAGATCTGACTGGTACAGGAGGAGACTGTCCCTCCTTCCCCGGCAGAGCATCTGGTGGAATACTTGTTATTTTGGCATCTCGTGAAATATTCAATACTCTTCTCTGATACCAAAATTCAAAGGCCTCAATTCTTCTGTCATTGTTATTCACTGACCAACTTTCACATGCATATGAAACAATTTTGCTTGGCTCCTCAATCAACACTCTTGGTACCAGCAGCCAGGAAGTCAAATGACAAACTGCACTGGTCATGTTTGCTGTCGGGGATCTCTCCAGAATACTAAAGAGCAACAACATCACTATGGAGACTAAGGTGTGCCTGATGCAGACCTTAGTCTTTGCAATTTCTAGCTATGCATCAGAGAGCTGGACAATGACTAGGGATGACAGAAAGAGAATTGATGCCTTTGAGGTGTGGTGCTGGAGAAAAGTGTTGAATATACCATAGACTGCCAGGAGAACTAACATGTTCGTCCTGGAGAGGGTGAAACCAAGCAGCTTCTTGTAGCCAAAGATCCTGAGGCTTTGTCTGACATACTCTGTACATGTTGCAAGGAGGGACGAGTCCTTGGAGAGGGACATCATGCTTGAGAGGGTGGAGGAACAGAGAAAGAGAGGAAGACCCTTGATGAGATGCATTGACACAGTGACTGGGGTAATGAGGGTAGGTGTGTAAGAAACAGTAAAGTTGGCACAGGATAGAGTGGGTTTCAGGGCTATTGTACATAGGGTCGCTATAAGTTGCAGTCAACTCAATGTGACATAACAATGACTTGGATCAGAATTAGTCTAAAATGGACTCTTTAGCACTTCGAAAAGTCAATGACAGATCTTCCCAATGCAACATATCTCCTGATTTCTTGACTGCTATTACGAATGGTATTGATTACAGACCCAAGTAAAATGAAGTTATTGTTTAGTTACTAATTTATTACTCTCTAGTTTGGACCTGGAGCTCTAGTGGCTGTGCTATAAGAAACTGCACTGCAATCCCGAAGACACGCAGTTCAAATCCACCAACTGCTCCGCAAAGGACGGGAAAACTCCTCCTGTTCAATTAACTGCTTCTGAAAACCCACTGGAGGGTCAACTATCCAACTCGATGGTAAACAACAAGTTTGGACCTGATAAAAGCTTTAATTACACCTCTAGTCTCCTGGTCTTGTCAATGGCCTTTGCTGGCTTGGTAGGTGAGTGGCAAATGAATTTAATTCCTTTGGCTTGAGTTTTGAGTTTGAACTATGTGAACATGAATGATTGTTTCATGGCTTTTACTTTACTGCTTACTTGAATCAAAAGCCCAACAAGAGGCATGCATTGTGACTGATTGTTATCTCTCTTGAATCTACACTTCCTCTCTCTTTCCTTGCAATTTATTTGCTTATTAAAACAAGCCATTCACCTTGTAGAATATCTCATGAACTAGATTTTAACAAGGTATCAAACTAAAAAAAAATGTCATCAAACAGTTGACCCTCGAATGGGTTTTCAAAGGCAATAAGCAGCACTGGGAGGGGACTGCTTATCTTTCTCTCATGGAACAGGTGGTGGATTAGAATAGTTCATCTTTTGGTTGGCAGAGCAATTCCTCACCAGAATGCTACCAGAGCTCCCTATTTAAAGAACAGTGGCAGCTCTTGTATCACAAGATTAGATACCAGGTGACAAATTCTAGTTTCCAAGCGAAGAGATGTTCCTCACTCTGAGAAGCAGAGTTCTGTTTATGTCAATAAATACTTCTTTAGTATTTAATATGTTCAATACTATTCCAACTTATAAAGTCATTTAAGGGACTGAGAACTAAATGTGAAAGTTATCTCCTAAGCTTAGAAATAGCAGAAAGGAGTATCCAGATTAGCAACTAATACTCAGAAGTTTTTATTAGAAAATAGTCAGACCAAGTATTTTCCTACTTTGGACTTTTTGATAATTTGTATTAACTACAGTGGCTGTGAAAATATTTAGCTTGATAATATATAAACCTCAAAACAGAACATACATACATATAATAGCCATCAATATATAAAAAAATACTATCATTCATAATTAAGAAATGCAAATAAAAACTAGAGCTATCATTCTTACATATTATGTTGCTTTGTACTGTAGCTATCATTCTTACATATTATGTGCTTTGTACTGTCAAATTGGAATCAACTCATAGCTGACCCCCAGTGGGCTTTCAAAAGCAGTATACTGCACTGAGAAGAAAGCTCATTTTTCTTTTGTGGGGTAGCTGGTGGATTTGAACTGTGTGTCTTTGCACTGGCAGGGCAATTCTTTACCACTAAGCCACCAGAGCTCCCTATTACCTCCCATATATCAGAAGTAAACAAACAAACAAAAAAACCCCAAAACTTTTAAGATTGAGAATATCTACATTTGATTATAGGAATGAAGTATTTCTGCATACTCTTTATTGGTAAGAGTTGAAACTGGTTCATAATTTCTTAAATATATATATGCTCTGACCAAAAAAATTCCCGTTAGAAATACTTCAAATATACTGGGATATATATATATATAATCTCCCCATATATTCTCCTTATATGTAAATAAAGAAAAATGCTCACTGAAGTGTTATTTATAACAATAAACTTGGAAACAACCAAAATAGGAAAGTGGTTAAATAAAATTATGACATATGAAATACTATCTTCTTATTCTACCACACATAAAAGAATGCAGATTTTTATGAAGATGTCCAAGAGAAAATTGTAAGAGGCAAAAAACAAGTCACAGAACTGAGAACTAAAAGATCTATTATGAAACTAATTCAGCAGGAAAAGTGTAAAAGGTACTACTAAACATTCATTTCAGCAGAAAAACAATGGAACCAGTTTTTTTACCAAATCATTCTTAACAAGGCTTTCTAAAGGTAGCTTACCATATAGTGTACTATATAGTTTTTATAATAAAATCTAATTGATATTAAAGAGGATACATAATATGAAAATTTTTAATTTTTTTCCTAAAATTCTCAAGGAATTGCACTTATCTAGGGAGAGAAAACACTTTCAAAACTTTCACTTTAAAAAATATATTTTTTTAAATTTATTTTTATTA